CCGCCCCCACCTCCACGGAGATCGCCCTCCACTTGCGGCAGGTCCTGGCGCAGCACATCTTCGACGCATTGCGCGATGCGTGGCACGTCTACCAGCAGACCGGCTGAGCAGGTCGACTGAGCTGAACAGGCTGGGGGAGGAGGCTGTGGGAGCAAGAGGGAGGAGGAGATGGTGGCGGCGCGAAGTACGAGTACGCGTTGCACAGCGGCCGCGCCCGGCGAGAGCGCGCGAGGTGCAGTCGGAGGCACCGCAAAGAGGGCCCCTGAGGGGGCGGCGATAGGTTGCCAGGTCCAGGTCCAGGTCCAGGTGGCGAACCGCGCGTGCCTGTGTGACGGTTTGACCGCAGCCGGCGCAGGTGGGGCGGGGCGGTGGTGGGATGCGGGGGGCGGGGAAGGGGGGGGGGGGTAGGGGGCGGGGAGCTGCTCGGCTGTCGCCGTGTGTCGTTGTGCGCGAAGTCGGCGCGATTTTCAAGCTGTGTATCTAGGGTGTCTCGACGACGTCCACAAATCAACAAAATCCCGTCTCGGGTCTGGACTGTGGTGTCAAACAAGGCGGGACAAACTACTACGGCTTTACTTGTAACACTGACTAGTTGCAAAAAGTCTCACGTGGAAAACCCACCAAAAACTCGTACCAAAAATGGGGTGCTAGTATGACACACTTGAGGCGAACTGCGGGTAAATAAATATTTTTGCACGGACGAACGCGAGCTCGTGGGGTCCACGAAAGCACCGCTTGGCGGTGTCAGAACCGCCCTCTTTGACCCTGGGGGGCCGAATCTGCGCCCTCTCGGCCCCGGCGGCGGTCCCAGAGAGGGCCGGCACGCGGGCTCCGCCGACGCTCTCGCAACGCGGGTCGCGCCGCGCGCCTCCCGGACGAAGCGTGTTGGTGCGCGACGGCGATCCTCGCCTGCGGGGAGCGGAGCACACGCGTCGGATGGCGAGGGCAGCACAAATATTGCACTCACGTCCCAGTATGGCAGCAGCCGGACGGGTTGGGTGGCGTGAGGGCAGGGTGGTGAGGATGATTCCACAGATCTCGCTGGAAATGGCCGTGTCCCTCCCGGGGGCAGCAGGCGAGCACACACCTCGCGTCCGAGCGCGCGTCGACGAGTGGTCGCCGAGAGATCGCCGAACCACGTTTCGAGTGCGCGCGCACACAGCACAGCTGCGGGTTGTAACTCGACTGCCGATCGCGCGTGCGGGATGTAAATGCAGCTCGCTGGCGCCAGTGCACGGTGGCAGGGACTGGAGGCTCGGCCGAAGGGGAAGAGCAGTCCTCAATCGTCACGTAGAGGTCGCTGGGCTGGATCCATCGAACTGCCACACACCTGGAGCGGAGGCACATCAGGTCTTGCGGCACACTCTCCGACAGATGCATGCCTTTTGAGCAAGCCCACGCGCCTCCACCGTCGCGTAGCATGCCAGCGGCACGCCGGTACGCCGACGAGTCGTGCGCGCTCGGCAGTAATCGGCGTTGAGACTGCCTAGCGCGCACATCGAGAGCGCCGAGTTGTGTTGCCGCGAGGAATCCTGCTCGAAGATGGGGTCCGAGCGGCGCCTGATCGCATGGGATGGATCAGTGGGGCTATCACGTGGGTACTAGGCCTGCTCAGTCAGGAGTTGGCGAGTGTGTGGGAGATTCACGCCCGTCGCTCAACGTCTGTTGAAAAACTGTTCGCTGAGCAAGCTCACGGTCGAGCGGGCTTGACGCGCGCTTCAGGATAGCAAGAGGCGTGCCCACTCCCCTGAGGAGCGTGCGGGCACGCCTGGGAATCGTTGTGGAGCGACCATGGACTGGGATGACAGCCGGCGAAGCGCTCCGCCAAATCCATGGCGCCGAAGCGCGTCCGCCCTCCGTGCTGCAAGCTTCACGGCGGAGGCTGTGAAGTCGCGGCATCGAGTTCAACCTGAGCGCACGCACGCACCGTGCTGGGGAGGAGTTGGCCTGCGAGCGGCGAGCGCTCCCGAGCGCGCGGCGCCCCGTTCTGGCCCTCTTGCGCTTTACCACGACAAAATCGCCTCCATTTTGCGCGCCTCCGGTGGCAACAACATTCGCTCTCACCTGGCAACCCTGTCTGCACGTCTCGCGCGCGCGTGAACAGGGCTCCAGGCCCCAAATTACGTGTGAGTGTTAGAGTTGTTTGGTATTGCTAAAAATCTCTCTCTCCGGTGGCAGGTCTAGCCGGGCCCGATTGATGATACTTTTGATGGTTGCGCGCCGGATCTCGACTCCACCGTGCTACGGTGCGTCCCAAAGCAAAACTTGTGGCAGAGGGGCCAGATTGGCCGATTTATAACGACGAGACAGCGTCTGAAGGCTATTTTGCGGCGACACCGATACGCGGTTGAGGGCCCACGGTTGTGGCTAGTGGAGGGTGCTGTACAATCCGAGGGCGTTCCCATGGCCTCACGGGCCCGGGCGAGGATCGTGGCTAGAAAAATCAAAAAGTATCATCCGTGGGGGCGAGATTTTTAACTGTGTAGCTCGATTTTGACCCACAACTACACAGAACGGCCCCAAATCGGCCCGGAACCGACCCGTGGGCCCGTCTGCCGCACCCAGCTCCGCCTGGGAGGGGCGCGCGCCGTTCCCCGCAGGTCAGGCGGGCCACGCAGACACGGCGGGAGAGCTTCCCGTGCCCTGTGAGTGCCGTCACGCCGCCTCAAATAGGTCCCAAAGTGGGGTTTGCCTCAAGTGGTATGAGCCCGATGCGTCGTAGAGTTCTTGTAACTTACTGTCCAAGCCTAAAATGTAAAAAGACTAGTCAAAAGAGAAAAGTCTGCGCACCGCCACAGCCGTTGTCGGGGACACACGATCCCGGCGTGAACACGCCGATCTGACAAAATCCCGAGTGCCTATCGCACGCGCGACGCGGCGCGTGCGGTAGGCTTTGTTTGAAGTCAAAAAAGTCGAATCAGAGCGCCGTCGGCGCTGTCCCCCGATTTTCTCCCCCGGACCGCCCGTCCGGCACCGCTCCGGGACGCACGCCGGCGAAGCACCATCAAGCTGCTGTACGGCCCCGGCATCGCCTCCCCTGGCTTAGCTAGACTGAGAGATATTGTGCACATGGAGCATGGTTAGTTTCTACAATCTATTACACCGACACTGAACCTCCAGAGCGTCACAAATCCGACCACACAGAGCACCGGGACGCGGTCGGGCGATCTGAGGCCCAACTAGGCGTATGCATCGCCCATCCAGGGCTATCACCTGGACCTATCAACAGGCGCCTGCGGCGCCGTGCTCAGGAGCTGCTGCTCCAACCTGTTCACACTTTCATAGTGGACAGAAACTCTCTATTGTCTACATTATAGACTATTTAAACTATATAAACTGGCGCAAAGCAGGACCAGGAGTCGGCTGCTCGCCACGTCTGCTGCAGGTTCTGCATCCCGTGGGCGCTCGTGCTGCTTCTTTACGCTCGCTATCTTTAGACTGGGTCCGGTACGGGCGGGGGCCCTTTCATCTCATCCCCCTGGGGCGGGAGCAGCCGGTCCTTGAGCGGCTCGAGGCGCAGCGAGCGGGTGGCTCTCGTCGAGCGGATCACAAGGCGGATCCCGCCCAGTTTAGCATCCGGCGGCCAACCCCTCCTAACCCACCCGTGTACCGCTCGCGAATCTCTCTCGTCTCGACATCGCTTAGCTCCAGGCCCCTGGCCAACGCGGGCAGCGTGTTTTCCACGTCGCCGTCGCGCAGGCAGCGCAGCAAGTTTTTCCTCAGAAGCGCGATGTCGATGCCCCTTGAGCTCGCCATGAGAGCAGCGTCCCGGTCGGCCAGGTCCTGCTTGAGCCGCTCCACAGTGCGATTTAGGCCGTCAATCTCCTTGGCGCACTTTTGCAGCCGCGCCTCGGCGGCGCGGAGCGCCCTCGAGGTGGACAACGGTGAGAGCGTGAGCGTTGATGAGCAGCTGCTGCTCGGCTCCGTCGCCAACGGCACGGGCGGATGGGTGCCTGACCGCGGCGGCGAGGCCGGCTCCACTTCGTAATCAATTCGGCGTACCATCGGTTCGGCCCAGTGAAGCGCCGCCGGGTGAGCGGCGGTCTTCTCGGGGTGTGTGCTCTCCCACCGCAGGTTTGCCGCCCGGCAACGCGGGTCGGAAAAGGCCCGCGCCATCTTTCTCCGAGCTGCCTCGTCCCGCTGCAGCGGCCACGTGTGGGCCTGGTGTGTGTGTGTGGGGGGGGGGGGGGGGGGAAGACTGAGGGTGGTGGATCGTGACAGCTCGAGTGTGCGGGCTGCCTGGGCGAGGCGCATGCCTTTGGGCCAAGGAGCTGGGCGGCATCTTGCCCTGACAGCACCCCCGCCTTGCGGTACACGGGCGCCCGCGCCTCCTCCTTCTCTTCCCCCTCTCTGTCCTTGACGTTGTTGAGACCCTCGAGGACCCGTTCGCCCGCAACCTGCTTCTCATGGTCGGAAAACGATTTCCTACGTCGGTGAGCTCCGAGTCGATTATTTGTAAGCGGAGCCTAGCAAGCGGCGCTCCCAGACCGGAAGGAGGTGGAGAGGCGCGCGGCGAACAGAGAGGCGGAGAGGCGCGCGGCGGAGCGCGGCGTCCGGACCTCGGGCCTTGGCGAAGGCGGCGGTGCCGGGCGTGCCAGAAGGTCCCTTGCAGCCACCCTCCTTGCGCGTTGCACCTGCGACGACGGGCGACGAAGCGACAGCTCAGCCCAGGTTTTGCATCTATCTGCAGCATATACCCGCTGGATCAATCTCAGTTCATTTCGGCCCGTAGACCCTGGCACTAGCAGCTGTCAACTACATTCTCGGGCACGGCTCCGCCTCGGAGTACTCCTTGCCCCTCACGCTCTCAAGCGGCACGCACTCATGCAGCATGCCAAGCAGCTCGTCGTCGAGCAGCTGCCCCTTGCTGCGAGCTTGCCGGCGCGGTTTGTGCGGCCGGCCGACGACGACGTAGAGTAGATGGCGGTCAACTGCGCAGGTGGCGGGCGCGAGGGTGGCGGCCAGGGCAGTATGAAGGTAGAGCTCTACGACGGTCGGGCGGTGGTCAACTGTGGCGGGTGCGAGGGTGGTGGCCAGGGTGGTAGCCGTAAGGTACTGAGGGCGTTTGCCGGCAGAGACGTTGGCCATGCTGCGGTGGATGAGCCGGTGGTCAAACACGATAGCGTCTCCTAGCGGCAGGAAGATCGTAGCAGGGGAGCACGGACAGCGGTGGTTTGCAGCACCAGCAGCGTGCCTGCTCGCGGATGCAGCACAACCTCTGTCGCGCCGTCGTCGCGAGGAAACTCGGTCGCGCCGTTGTGAGGCCCGAGCGCCACGAGTGGAACGATGCATGTCAGAGCCTCTGGTGGCCAAGTTAGCGCGCTCGGTGGCAGCGGGTCCGCCCACCAGTCAAAATGAAGAGAGACCTCCGCGATGGCCTCCTCTTGCTCTTCCTCCTCTGACCCGCTCTCTCGCCCCTCCACCCACTCCCATTCCTCCCATGCGGCTGGAGACGGAGCAACATTATCACCCGCCGCGACACACACCGCGTCTCTGCCGAGGACTCTCTCCATGAGCTGCCCTACCGGCTCGGAGTTGAGGAGGCGGTGCGCCAACTCTCCCGTGGTCGGGTGCCTGACCTCGATGCGGCGGCCGCGCCGCTCTCTGAGCTCAGCAAAGCGCGGCGGCGGTGGCGCGGTGGCGCCCGATTTCATTTGACGAAATAGCACGGCGCGCATCACTTTTTCCCTGCGGATGGTGGCAGAGCCGTCAGCAAAGGGGGGGAAGCAGGTCAAATTCAAGAGGGAGCAAGCATCTCGCCATCGTTCAACGGCCAGCTGCTCGCAGTGCGCGACGCCCGCGATGGCACCCGTGATGTGGCAGAGGCCATTTTTACGCAGCGCAGCCACTGCCCGGGCGCATTCCTCATCCGACATCGTCGCGGCTCGAGTTGCAAGTGCAGAGCGTACGTCCCCGCCCGCCGCAGTCATTTTTGTCTAGGTACTCTCTTAGGTTGTTGAGCACTTGAGCACTTGATAGGGCCGATTCCGCATGGTACGGGACCCCTCGATCGTCTCGCCCTCCCTCGCTGGTGTGTTCAGGGGGGGGGTTCATAACAAACACGGTACAGGATCGAGCTTCGAGGTGCACGCTGCAGAAGCAGTGTCGTCCCCCCTCTCCATCATCTCACTGGGAGACGTCGGCGGTGGTGGCGGTGTGACCGATCGAGCTACAAGAGGAGCTTGTTCAGCATGATCAGGGTGGGCGGAGCAGTACCTCACTTCCCCACTGGGTGAGCTTCAGACCTCCCAAAAGTCACAGGTACCCATCACCTTCGACCTTCGTGGGTTCGAACCACCGATCGGCATGGAAGCTTCCTGCTTCCATTTGTGTTTCCTCCTTTCTTACCTGTGTCATTTCGCGGGTGCCGGGTGGGTTAAGCAGTGCGCTGAGTGTGGAGAGGTGGGGAGAGGGGGGGGGAGGGGGGGGGGGGGGAAAAGGGGGGGGGGGGGAAAAGCTGGGGAAAAGGAGGGGGGGGGGGGGGTCAGCCCAAGAAGTAGCCCGCAGCCCCAAGAAGAAAAGGCGCCACAGCAGCCGCTCCGACGTTCACTCAACGCTACCCTCACGAGACCCCGTCCGTCCTTAGGTTGTTGGCAAAGCAAGACACATCACAGTGGGTGGAAAGCGAACTCACTTAACAGGGGTCGATTGGGGCGGGCCACCCTGTCCAGAGGCAGAGGCGCCTTTCTGTCTGGGATCTTGCGATCGTGGATCGAGTCAGCCCTCGGCCATAGAGCTGTCAAACGTTAGAGCTGAACAGTGTTGCTAGTGTTAACAGTAACAACAGAACAACAGTGGGGCTCCCCAACAACAGTAGCTAACGTTAGGCCAGCTGAACAACAATAAGGAAGGCCTGGCAGTGACCCACGACGATCTCCAGCGTCCAGTGCGGGTAATACCCGAAAATACCTGGAAAAACCCAGGTATTTTCGGGTTTTACCCGGGTTTTTGGCATTTTCTGCTTGCTGACCACTGAACAACAGTAACAACAGTAACAAACAGTAACAGCTTGGGCTGGGGAGAACACTTGAACAACGTTGAGGATTTCAGCCAACAATAGTGCAACTGTTAGGCCCAAAGTTAACGTTTGACAGCTCTACTCGGCCACGCTCTCCTCTCGTGGCTGATAAGCATTCGCAGACCAGGAGCACAGATGTGACTGCTCACCAAGGCCGAGGGGGGCACCCACGACACGCACCGGCCCTTCATTCACGAACCGAAAAAGGCCGCGCCCGGGAGGGACACGGCGATCCGGCGCGGGCGCTGGGCGTCCATTCCGTATGGCAGCTAGGTCGGCTCAGTGGCCCCGTCCACTTGCCTCCCACTTTGACACGTGATGATGAAGAGTCGCCCCCAAGCCGGCCAGGGCAAGGCGGAGGGCGAGGGCGGAGGACGGAATGGGCCCCAAGCGAGACGGGAGCGGACGGGCGGGGGGTGCAACGCACGGATGAGGGATGGCGAGGGCGGAGGGCGGAGAGGGGCCTCAGGCGGGAGCTGGGCGGAGGACGGAAGTCGGCGTGTCCGCATGGCATGGGCGGCGGGCGGTTCAGAGGGGCGGGGGGCGAGGGCGAGGGCGAAATAGGGGGAGGACGGCGGAGGAGAGGGTGGCGGCGGGAGGGGCGGCGGAGGCGGGAGTGTGGCGATGGGGGTGGGGGTGGGGGGAGGGTGGTGACGGCGGCGTGGGCGAGGTGGAGGGCGGCGTCATAGTCATGATAGTTAGTCCACATTGATTGATTGATAGGAAGGCGAAACACAGTCTGGCTCGGACACAACGCTAAAGACCCAGAATTTTATAAATACCGAAAACTCGGGTGTTCGTAAGAACCACATACAAGAATTCTTAAGGTACAAGCCTCTCTCACAGCACATACAAGAAAGAGAAAGCGCCGAGCCGGGCGGCGAGCACTTCAGCACTTCGTCGACGGGCGCCGATATGACCAAGTCGTTGCCACCTCGCCAGCCGAGCCCACTGTGTAAGCTGCCCGCCTGGTGCGGAGTCGATATGAGTGAGCTCGCCACGGCCGATGCGGATGGGGCAGACTCGCCGTTCCGTGACTCTCCGCACGGCGCAAAGGTGTGCATACGGGGAGGGTAGACGGCACGGCTGTGGCAGCCTCCCACAGAGCGCGCCGTGCGGACGTCGCTTATTCGTTGGAAGGAACTGCGTCGCTCGGGGCCTCACCCCTTCTTCTCCGCACGCCAGGTTGACGCACTGAGACTGCTCAAATCTCGCGGCGGCAATGCGTTTCGCATGCGGCTGTGGAATAGCCCTTGTGCCGCTGGGCAGTGCAATGCGAGTCGCTTCGCGCATGCTAACCTGACCAATGTGCTGCGGATGGCGCGCGGTACGGGTCGTTGCACTGCGCGCCCTGGATACCGCCACATCGTCCCCCAACTGTGCTGCAGGCTCGCCGAGTGGCTGAGGCCAACCTCTCCTTCATTCTCGACCTACACTATTCGGACTGGTGGGCTGATCCGCTCCACCAAGCCAAGCCCCTCGCCTGGCAGGAACGCGCCACCCACCCCCCGCTCGTGGTCGTGATTCCCTCGCTACTGCCCGCCACGGAGGTCCCTCTCTCCTCGCTCTCCGCCTTAGGATTTGCCACTGCCGGTGCTGAAACGCACCCTCCGCGCCTATACCCGCCGCACCGTCGCCGCCTTTGTGGCGCAGGGTACGCCGCCTGCGGCGGTGCAGGCCCGTGCATACGCGCCCACGTGCGTCGCACTGTGCACGAGCAGCGAGATTGCTGGCCCCGCCCTCCTTCCCAGGTTGGCAACGAGATCACTTTTGGGATGCTGTGGGAGCGACCCGGCGAGGCGTGTGCGCGCGGCGGCCGGCTCGCGTGCGCCGGCGACCTATTTGGCAGCAAGGTCGACCTCGCCGCCTGGCGCCGGCTCGGTGCTCTGGTGGACGCGGGCATGCGAGGGGTGAGAGAGGCGTGCCCCCGCTGCGAGGTGGCGACCCTAGATGCGCGATGGTCGCTTCATTGACTTCAAGTAAACTTCATGACGGTGTTCGCGCGTGCATGGCCGCGATGCAGCGGCCCCGCGTACTACGCAACATGCCTTTACGACGGTGCCCCTCTGTCTTTTTACCTCGCAGATTGCCATCCACACGAGCCTGGGGAACCGCATCGCCGAGTTCAGCAGCGTCGGCATCGGCGACTGGTACGAGCTGCTCCTCAACCACACCACGTCGCCCTCGTTCGACCGAATCGGCGCATAGCAAATTCGCCGCACACTCAGTCTCGCGGGTCAGAGTCAAGTTTGCCTCCTCTCGTGTTGCAGGTCTCTCGCTGTACCCGGCCTACCTCGCGCCGCACCCCTCAAGCCGGCCGGCCTCGGCACTTGAGAACATCGACGCGCTCGCGAGCCTTGCCCGACGCTTTCCCGGGAAGCGAGTCTACATTGCAGAGACGGCCTATCCTCAGCGCGGCACGGCGCCCCCACCTCACCGTTTCGCGGCGTCGCCCTTGGGGCAATACGAGTACTTGCGCGCCGTGCTAAGCCGGCTGGCCCAGGCGCTGCCCGAGGCGCAGCGTGGCGGGGTCCTGTGGTGGGAGCGGAACGAGAGCTGCGACGACGCGCTCTTCTCACCCTCCGGCGTCGCCAGCCCCGCGCTGCTCCACGGCTTTGTGCACGGGAGGCTCCCTCGGCGCGTAGCACTCCGCAAAACACTATTATAGTTCACTCTCTCTGAACTCAGTCATGGGGTGGCAACGTGCTCGTAGGCACCACCTCAAGGCAGCAGAGCCAAGCTCCTCCCGTGCTCGGCAGACGGTCTGCGGTTCATGGCCGCCGCCACGTCGGGGGCCATGTAAATTGGGAGCCGAGCGATCGACCGGCTCACACTAGCCAGGCCTGACCTTGAGAGTAGAGAGTGACTTTGGAGAGAACAGTCGCGAGTCGCCAGACATAATACTCGAGTGTACATACATGGCAGGCCAATCGGTCTTTGGTGCCATATGGTCTGCCGCCTCATGCACACCCCTCCCGCGCCGTGGCACCGAAACCCAACACAATCAGCAAGTTTCGCGTTATCATTTCTAATGCAACCGCCTCCTGGCATTGCTCGTGGCATTGCTCGTGCGACTCGTGGCAGGACACGTCGTGGAGCGATTCTAAGATCAGGTCTGCCACCTCCCCGCTGGAAAGTGAAATCTAAGTTTCAAATCTCGAATAAATCTCGAAGCACACTTGAATGCTCACTTGGCAGGTAACATATGCGCCACGCGCCCCAACCGCTCCTCTGGTCGCCGCCGGCCTCCGCGGCGGCGGCGATGTCCCAGCGCCACCCATCGGCCAGCCCTCAGATCGATCGATCGGCGCTCAAAGTCGGCTTCAGATCCGAGAACGCTGCTGGCGCCGCCGCCGATCCCAGCGGCGACGCCAGCAGCTTCCTCTGCTCTCCAATGCGCCGAGAAGCGACGCGGGGGTGCTCGGCCCACCGTGGACGACGAAGGTTCCGCCGGGCGCGCGTCGGCCGGTCCGGTGGCACCCTCTGCGCGCGGCACCTGCCGGCGCCCCGACGACAGCCGTCGCGCCACCGCTGATGGAGGGGCGGTCGGCGCCGCTGCCGCCGCGCCGCCGGTGGGAGGGGCACTGGTGGTGGCCTGGGCGGCCCTCCGCCGCCGCTCGGGGCGCCCGGGCAGCGGCGGCAGCCTGCGCCCGCGTGCTTCGAGCTGCCCGCTCGGTGCTTCGAAATGCCCGCTCCGGCGGCCCGCGATCGGCGCTATTCTTTTTTCTACTAAGCAAAATTCAAGCCAATTGAGGAAACTGAAGCGGGCAGGCTGGAAGCACTGAGGGACGGCCGATTTCCGCCCAGTGGCAGGCCTGATCTTAGAATCGCTCCGTGGAGTTCTTATGCCGGCTGCTGCTCGCCCCCCCTCTCTCTCCTATTCGGCTCAAAGGCCTTGTCGACGAGGAGCGGTGGTGCTCCCACGACGACACGTCGCCAAAGGTGCGCTTCGCGAGGAGCAGGGGGCGCCCTCGTATGACGATCGGCCGTCGATCCCGAGGCACGAGGGTCGTCGGTTGAGCTAGGGAGCCTGGCGATGGACGCCACCGCGACCCCTCGTGCATCTCTCTCGCCGTCGACGAGCTAGGGGCTCGCGGATGGCCGACTTTTTACATGACCAGTAAGCAGGACAGCCGTGAGTGTGAATCGGATAAGGCGTGTCCACCGTCTTCGTGGACGTCTGTCCTCGTGACACCCACACCCCACACGGCCTGTCTTGCTTCCCCACCCACCCTCCCTATTTTGTGCGCTGTCGCGTTTTGGGGTTGGTCCTGCAACGGTGTCTCGTGCGGAGCAGTGGTGTGCTGTCGCGCGAGGGTTGCAGGCGTGAGGGTCGAGTGGAGCCCCAGTCCTCGACAGGCTCTGGCCGTGAGCGCCGCCTCGAACTCGCCCGCGTGCGCGCGTGCGCGCCGCCGCGATCCACGAGCGCAGCTGCACCGCCTCCTTGCGCCCCTCGCCGCTGACGTAGATGCTCACCGCCTCGGTGTACATAAGAATCACCTCCGCGGGGCGCTCGTGCACGTGCTGCCGCGTCAGATTGCTAAGTACGGCGCGCTCTGGCCCTTCAGCACCGCTGCTCTCGAGTCGCGTGGCGCCCGCATCAAGCGCGTCAGGAACGTCTCGTGGCGTCCCTACGTCCGCGGCGCCTTTGACAGGAAGACCGACCGGCGCGGGCGCGTCGCGATCTTCAAGCAGACGTACAAGTCGTCGCCAGCCGCGCTGCAGGTCTTGCGCATCATCTCGGCGCAGGAGGAGATGTTCCACAACGGCAAGGGGCGCGGCGCGGCGCGGCAGAAGCAGACGGGCCGCTTCAAGAAGGTCAAGATCGAGACCGACAGCACCGCCTCGTACGAGACTGACCCGTTCAAGTCCCTCACGTCGTTCCTCTCCAACGCGAACGCGCAGGCAGGCGCGGGGGGGGACTGACTTCACCGACCACCGACCGAACTTATGTCCGACTTTTTGCAGTTTTCGCACATTTCCACCCAAAAATTAGAAAATAAATAAAACGGACACCTCTTACTGTGAGATGGGTAAAAAAAGGATAAGGAACACCAACAGCGAACAGAGCGCGTCAGAGGTCCCCGACCTTGAAGAAATTAGAAAAAACCGCAAGCCCCACCCAAAAAGTGACAAGTGTTGGGTGGGAACAAAGAACAGACAGTAACGATATGCTTGCCAAATGCATGTGACTGTGCGAACCGCGACGCTGCGCATGCCAAAAATCGACCTTCTTCGAGCGTCGGTCGCATGCGATGGCATCCGCGTCGCCAGGCGGCAGAAAGCCCGCCGCGGGGGCACATGCTGGATGCTCAGGCGCGGACTATGCGCCAACGCCAAAGCTAGGCGTTGCGTCGCGTCTCTTCGATGATCGCACGCGCCGCCGCGGGGGACATGTCGGGCGGGCGGCCGTCGATGACCTCGGTCGCGATGCGCGCCGGCAGGATCTGAGCCACGCGCTGCCACACCGCGCCCTCCTCCTCCGAGCCGGGTGCCGCCGGCCGCTCGCCAAGCAGCCTGCGCACGAGCTCGGCGAGCGCGCGGTCGGCGAACTCCTTGTGCTTGGAGGGGACGTGGCCGAGGTCGCGCTGCGTGCGCCGCTTGGCGTTGCACAGGTCGCGCAGCACCGCCGCGCGCGCGCCGAGAAGCGCCTGCGCCGCCTCGCGCCGCGGTGTGTCGAGGATTGGCCCCTGCGTCTCGAGCACGGCGCTGAGGCGGCGCCACGCATCTGCGTCGATGGCGAGGTCCTCGCTGTCCACCTCCTTGAGGATGGAAGCGAAGGCGGCGAGCTCGTGCGACTCGTCGTAGAGAGGCAGCACCGTCACCTGCGCAGTCATTCTCGGACCGGTCAACACTGATCAGGAATGCACCGTCGCAGAGAGGCAGCACCGCCGCCTGGTTGAGGAAGCGCTCGCCGCCCTTCTTGTAGTTCCACACCGTCTGCACGGTCGGCTCCTCGGCGCGCACGTGCGCGAGCAGCGAGGCGAGCGCCTGCGGGAAGCGACCAGGGAGGCTGAGCGCAGGGCCCAAGGTGGAGTCACACGTGCTGCGAGCAGCGAAGCGGGCGCCTCTGAGTCGGTGTCGGGGCCGGTAAGGATCTTGTTGGTGAGCCCCTCCACCTCCTCCGCCATGTAGCCGCACATCTCGCACCACGCGGGCGAGGCGTGCGTGATGACGTGCGGCCACTCGCTCGAGCAGAGCACGTACGGGTCCTCGCTCTCCAGCATGTCGGCAAGCTGCGCCTGCGACACCCTCCGCTGGCAGCGGCCGCCGCCCTTGCCGACGTAGCTAACGGGTGCCTCGGGAACGGGGTTGAGCTCGGGCGTCTCCTCTCGTGGAGCGACCGAGCCGTCGGTGATCGGCTGCGCGGTGACGAATCGCCCGTAAAAGTGCGACCCGCCCTTGACGGGCGCGACGTGCAGCGAGTTGAGGAATGGCGTGCCATCCTGCCAACAGGGGGAGGAGCAAGGGAGGGTAGGCCGGCGGGCGGGCGAAGGGTGGGTCGGGGGGGGGGAGGGGAGGGAGGCGGAAGCCAGTGGCGCGGGGACGCGTGTGGGGAAGTGTGAGAGGGGAAGTGACGGGAAATGGAGAGGTGTCGTGCGCCGGCGGGAGAGGGGTGGGTGGTGAGGCGCTGGTGTGGCCTTGCGGTAATTGATCAGCTTCACATTGACGGGCCGCTTCTGCTGCAGTGCGAGGCTGAGCGTTTCGAGCGCCGCCCGCTGCGTCTCCTCACCCTGAGGGGGGGAGGAGGTGATGCGTTGGGGGCTGCCGGCAGCGACAGCAAGGGAATGCGGCGACTTGCGTCGCGGCGACGGTTGGGTGGGGGGATGCTCAGATAAGCGCCTGTAGCACAGAGCACGTCTTGCCCGCGACCTCGATGAATGAGAAACCGCATGCCTCTTTCCAGGCGACATTGGTGTGGATGATGCGGTACGGCGGCGCCGACTCGCACACGATCCGAGCCTCGTCGGTCAGAGAGAGCGACTCGGCCAGCGTCAAGCTTCTCCTATCCGAGACCATGCCTTGCCCCCGGCGGTCGACAAAGTTGAGAGGGTCATCATCTCGGGCAGAGAGATTATCAAGACCGGTTGCGGCAACACACACTTGGAAAAAATCGTCAGGTGTGGTATCGGTTTGCGTATCGTATCGTATCGATCGCTCTCTCTTCCCTTCGCTCGGCGCCTCGCTCCTCGCTCGATGAATGAGCGGCCCGCGGTCGCCGTGAGAGCGCGCGTGGCGGGCGACGGCTCACCGATCGAGCGGACGCGGTCGCGCTGCGCGAGAGTGGGGGCGGCGGCGAGGCGAGCAAGCCACCCGGAGATACCCAGAAGGACGCCGTCGCGAGGGCGGGCGGCGGGGGCGGCGAGGGCGAGGCGCGAGGCGCGAGGCGCGAGGCGCGAGGTACGGGCGGCGTTGGCGCTTGGTTGGCGGCGGCATTGGCGGCGGCGGTGGCGCGAGCGGCGGCGGTCACGGAGCGGGGGGCGAGAGGGTGACGGCGAGCAAGACACCCGTGCGCGCTGTGCGGTCGCCGTTCTGCCTCACATGCCTGCGGACAGCGCCGACGGGTGGTGAGGAGGGCGGAGAGCCGGCGGGCGTGGTGTGCGCGCGGTCGCCGCGCGCTGGTGGGCAAAACCTCTTCCCGCCGAACCGCTTTCCGCTGTCGAGGCTCCTCCAAAGGCGGGCGCGGTGCGGGCGGCGCGTGGCGCAAACGGGTGCTTTGTGGGGGGAATGAGGGGCTTGTGCACGGACCTTCAGGCGACATGACGATCGGCTGGCGACCCGCTAGGGTCGACAGTTGAGCTAGGGAGTGTGGCGATGGCCGCCCAAATGCGAACGCAGGAGATAAGATGCTTTGCGGCGACGTACCGTGGGAAGGTTCAAGTCGGCGCTCGGTTGCATTACAAGGCTCCTTGTCACGTGGAGTTCTACGTGCGTCCCACGGGTCAAGGCGCACGCGCAGCCGAGCTGTTGGAGAGAGACAGGGGTCTCTCTCGTTGCGCGTTTTGGTCATGGCCCTCGGCGAGGCCGAGGGCGGAGTGGCTGCGGGGACTGAAGCAGAGGACATCACCGAGGTGCTCAAGTCGGAGCGGGCCGGGCGACGCTTGCCGCTCAAGGAGGACGAGATCACTGCCTCGGCCGAGCTATTGGCGAAGTACGTGACTGCGGACGAGGTGTGGTCGAGCCTCGGTGATGAGGACCTCTTCGGGGTGTACGCGGACACGTTTGCCCAGGCCATCGGCAAGGAGCTGCCGCCCATTCAGATGGCTCTAGCCAAAATGTGGTGGATGGACGCTCGCCCAGCGCCTCGGGAGAAGGAGGCTGTGGAGGTGTCATCACCACCGGAGGCGGCGGCGGCGGCCGCCGAAAAAGTCGAGACGATCGACGCGGGCACGAGCTGCTCGGACCTGAAGACAAAGGGGATGTCCAAGACCGAGCTTTCCGTGATGGCGGAGCAGCTCAGGGCTATGGGGTGCACTGCTGACGAGGCTATCGGCCTGTCTGGCGTCATCCTCTACGGCAAGTGAATCAACCGGTCGCAGCGGCCAGACATCGGCTACGGCGACTCGCTCTGCGCGCTCAAGACCTTCCGCGAGCTTGACAAGGCTCCGGCCGCCAAGACCTTCTTCACGCTCTCCAAGGCTAAGGACCGGGATGCCCTCACGCAGTTCTGGGCGCAGGGGCACCAGCTGCTGGTCGACGGCGGCCGGTCCCACCTCGCGATGCTCATGCTGAGGGAGGGTGTAGAGGATGTAGAGTGTAGAGCACTGTAGAGCTGTAGAGATGTAGAGCGCTGTAGAGCGCTGTAGAGCTGTAGAGCTCTACATCCGCCGCGTGACGAGGCGGGTGCGTTGTAGAGCGATGAGGGAAAACAGAGGGTGTTTGGTGCTCCATTCTGGAAACTCGCGAGTTTCCCTGAGTCTGAGAGCTGGTCTGGGGCAAAATCTGACGCAAAATTGAGGAAATCGGCACGATACCCAGGCGGTCGCAGGATATTTTCCAGGTATACCCGGGGTTTTCCAGGTATACCCGCAAAATACCCGGTATTTTGCCGATTTGGCTGATTTTGGGCCCAAACCAGCCTCAGACACGGCTCAGAGCCCGGAAAATTTGATGGTTTTCCCGGGAAAATAGAGAGGAAAAGAGAGGGTGCTGCAGAGAAAAAAGGAAAAGAAAAGAGACGGGGTGCGAGAGGAAAACCTTGTTCAGCCTACCTAAGTAAGCCCCGTTCAGGCAGGGGTACTTGAACTCGGCGGCGTTCTCACGCGTGCGTCCCACGGCTTTCGCGTGCAACGGGGATGCCGCAGCACGGGACCCGCTAGCCGTCCTTGTCAAAGGCAGCGCAGGCGCAGGCCAGCCGACGCCAGCCCACGCCCTATGAGTACCTGCAAAGAAGTTTCTTCCCTTGTACGATAAATCGCAATCACGTCGGCCAACGCCGCTTGGCCGCCTGCCTTACCTGGGTGGCATAGGCCAGCGTCCATGCCGTACGTCCCGCCGCACCGCCGAAACCAGGTCCCGGCGCCAGCTGCCGGCGCAGAGTCGCAAGGCAAGTCGCTCAGCGACCTCGTCGACAGGCCGCCGCCGCGGCAGCAGCGCGAGCCGCTCCGCGCCGGCGGTGGCGGTGCGGGCGGCGGCCTCGACTCGCGTGGGCCGCCGCGTCACGGCGGCGCCGCCGACCTCTCAAGGTCGGCGCTGCGGGCGCCGCCGCCCGACAAGGACTACTCTGTCGACCGGGGCCGGGACTTGTCAGTCGACCGACTGGCCGAGGCTACCGGCTATAAGTACAACCCAAAGGGCGCGCCGTCACGCTTCGGCTCCGCTGGCCGCAACCCGCACCGGCCGCTGGGCGAGGGCGAGGACGTGCCGGGCGGGGTGCGCGGGGAGGGCTATTCGTAGGAGTGGCGGGAGAGGGCTGTGGCGGAAGGGCGAGAGGGAGTCTTCGCGGCGAGCCTTGCCCCACGCACCCGCCTCAGGCGCGGCTCGACGAGGACGGCATGGTGTACGACATGGGCGGCGGCCAGTGCACCTATTTCCAGGACCGGATGCGGCAGTACCCCTTTGCGACAGAGACGGTGGGCTGCAGTGTAGGACTGGTCCCGTGGGGCCCGGCGCCTCAGCGCACCTCGAGAGGGGTGGGGGGCAGGGAGGAACGAGGAGGGAAGAGACGGAGGGAGAGGGAGGGAGCAGCCACTCGGTGCACAACCCCCGCGCATGCCCGTCGCGCAGGCGGGGCTCGCGCTGCTGCGCCGGCTCCTCCTCGTCGAGCGGCGCCCTCGATCAACGCCACCTCGGAGGAACGAGAGGAGTGACTGCTAGGCTCCTCCTGGTCAACGAGCGTGTCTTTGCCCTCTCCGACGCGCGCGTGAACGCCACCTCGGACCCCACAGAGACGGCGCGTCACGGCGAGCATGCCTGGGAGCGGCCGCCGCCGGAGCTGTGACAGAGCATGCCTCAGAGTGTGACTGTACGTGGCGCAGGCGAGCACCTGTACGTGATGAAGCCGACGATGAAGTCCGCGCCAAAGAGTGCGGGAATGGCCCCGGGGAGGCACGGGGAATTCCCCCCCCCTGGGTGGCAGGGGGGATTGCCTTTTTGGGGGGGGGAGCCCCCCCCCCCCCCCCCCTCGCCCCCTCGCCCCGGACCCCACCCCCGCCCCCACTCCCCAGGCGCTCTACCTGCGCCTAAAGTCCTTCCAGCGCTTCACCGAGAGCTGGGTCCTCGAGCGCGCCGCCGCGCCGCCCACGCCGCCGCGCCCCACCGCTGAGGCGCCCCCCTGGACTCGCGGCAGGCACTCTTCGAGCGCGCCGCCGCACGAGGCGTCTTCGACCCGTGGCTGCAGTCCGCAGGCGGCGGCGGTGGCAGCGGCGAGGGTGAGAATGGCGGCAACGGCGGCGGCGGTAGCAGCGGCGGGCGGCCTCTCCTGCGCGTGGCGTCGCTCGGGGGAGGGCCCGGGTACGAGCTGCTCGCCTTGGCTTGGTACTTGGAGCAGCTCGCAGGGGAGCGAGGCGTGGCGCCGCCGAGGCTTGACTTGGTCTCCCTCGACCTGCAGCCGTCGTGGGAGCCGTACCTGCTCGCGCTGCCAGAGCCGGCCGAGGCGGAGGCGGGTGGCGGCGGCACCACGTACCGCTTCGCGCAGTGGGATATCAAGGCGGGCGTCGACGCGCGCGACGCGGCGGGCGGCCCGCTCGACCTCTGCCTCGTCTCGAACGTGCTCGTCTACTGTTCCGACGAGCCGTCCGCCGCCGTGCTCGCCGCGCTGCTGGAGAGCGGCGTCAAGGCGATCCTCCTCAATGAACGCGGCGGCGAGCAAAAGATGGTCGGCATGGTCGAGCGGCACGGCGTCGTCGTCGCCAAGCTGCTCGACCAGGACTCCGCTGCCGGCCGGGACGACAGGCAGCTCGTCTTTGCGCCTGCCGGCACTTCGCTGCCGAGCCCGAGCGGAGCGCTGGCGCATGTGTTTCCCAACGTGCCGTATGAGGAGTCAAAGCAGAGGTAGTAGCCACCACACGTTGGGGGGAGCAGGGGGTTGACATCCGTGATTTTCACGCAAAATCCACAAAAATTACGACTCACATGTGAGATGTGAAAATTTCCGGCGTGAAGAGAAGGAAATAAATAAATGAAAACGGACACCTCTACTGTGAGATGGGTGGCTCCGGCTCAGGTCAGAGGGCCCAGCGACTCGTCGGTTGAGTGTAAACGGGCATCCCCGAGTGGCTTCAAACCAAACAGGGTGTGAATAGAGCTGTCTTGATGGTGCTGAGGACGAAGCCACCTCAAACTTTGATGAAGCCGCGAGTTTTTATAGTTTTCATTAGCTGTGAATAGTTATTGCGCCCGCCGCAGCCCGCCCTATTCCACTGGGCACGCGCCACGGGCCACACGAGAGCCCTGGAAGAGCCCAGCTGGCATGTTCTATCGCCCGGGTGGCGGGCTGTCTGCATACAGACGTCTCGTCGCCATGGCTGACGCACGACTGGTCCGACGTGCGGTGGGATTTTGACCTCAGACAGGCCGTCGGTGTCGGCGGGCTGACGGCGGCCGCCGGAATCGCGATTCGCTCTGCCAGCTGCCAGCAGCCTCGTGTCGCGGCTCTCACAGTGCAGCGGTGGTGATTGGTCTTTGCGCCGTCGCTCGACGGCGTCACCGCCCATCCGACCTGCGCAGCTCCTGCAGCTCCTGCAGCTCCTGCTGTCAGTCTTCTGCTCTCACTCGCCGCGCGCGGATTGTGCGCCGCGCCAAGCAGGACACATGCTCATGCAAACAGTGCGAGAACTTGGTTGCGCCGCTTAGTGGCGGCGCTGCTTTAGAGGAAGCGGCAGCGTGGGATGCACAGCAGATGGAGGCGGCGCGGCATGCCAAGGAGCTGCAATCGCGTCCTGGGGGCGGCAGCGCCAGCAACGAGCAAGGAGAGACTGGCGTAGGTTGAGCGGCTGAGTGCAGCAAGGGCCAAGGGCAATAAAAAAGAATGTGGGCGTCGGCGATACGGGCGCCGCTAGGCTCAACGAGGAGATGCTGTGCAGTTAGAGAGCTCGTAGCGAGCTCGATTTTGATGAGAATTTAGATGAGAAATCCCTCAATTTTGAGTAAAAAACGCCAAAAAAACGGCGCCTGCGGCGGGCCAGCCTCCGGCGGCGCCTGCGGCGGGCCGCTGGGGCTTCCTCCCCAGACCCAGTTTACACCCGAGCTATGCCCCACGACCTGAGCCGGAGCCGGTAAAAAGGAACAGGTCCCCGCCCGTCGGCGTGCGATCTTTTGTGCAGGGTTCTTTGTGGGTGTGGTCGGCGGCGACTAGCCGGGGTCGTCCTCCCGGATGGGGGACTAGCACTAGCCGTCTTCCACATGGTCCCTCGGGTCCCTGCTGCTCCTAATCTCTTCGTACATCCTCCTGCTGATCTCCGCAACGTCCTGCTCCCTCCCCCGTCTCGCCCTGCGCGTCTGCTCCACCTCTCCCCCGTCGTCTGCCCTGCGACGTGTCGTCTGGCGGCGGGTCCTCCATAGTCGGTTGAGGTCGCCGCCCTCCTCGTGCCTCTTCCCAACGTTCCCTCGGCGGCCGATGCCGTCTGCCTCCGACTCCGCCGTCCCCGGGTCTGCCCTGCTCTCGTCTGCGCTAGTTTCTGTTTCGTCATCACCGGCGCACTTGTAGCACTTGGTCTTGGAGTGCAGTCATTAACCTCACATCCAGGGCCGGGGAGCTAAGAAGCGCACCCAGCGGGCCGGATGATCGATATCGGGTTGCGGGCAAGAGAGCCCTAGCCCTGGGGGGTGCGCGGTCGCAGGGCCATAACACGGGTCTCCGAGGGTTGGCTCCGTGTACCGGGGGTTTCCCCTCAACTGCAGAACACACCCTTTACTCGTAGCTAAAGAATCCTCTCTGGGTGTTTGTCTGTGCTTTGTGTTTCCCCTAGCTGCGGAGCGCCCCCTCTACTCGGAGCTAGTGGACACGACACTAGCTAGTGATACGAGAATACGTACCGCCCCCACGCAACTACTCGACGATAATACGAGAATACGCAGCAGCGAGACGCCTATAAAGAAACAGCGAGGTAAAGTTCGGCGGCTCTGATTGCCGAAAGTTGTCGTAAAACGCGGGCGAAAGCAAAGCCGCATGGGGTTGACCGACAGCCGCGCCGCTCGAGCCTCCCGTGCCACGCGCGGCGACACGCACACCGCGCGCCAGTCAGCGCACTGGTAGTACTGCACCAGCCAGCACGGCGTGGAGTGCAATGTATTGAGGGCACTGTACTGGGCGCCAGCCAGCATGCCTCAGCACAGAGCGAGAGAGCATGCTGCGCACCCTGACGCAGCGTCAGCTCGCCTCCAATCAGGCTCTCTCACCGCCGCACAGCGGTCCACGAGCACCTGCGGCTGTGCTGCTCAACGCTCAAGCTCTGGGGCCTCCCCTCATTGTCGCAGCTTTGCGCAGTGCAGCGTGCGAGCAGCGCAGCGCCGGGCCGACCCCTGGCACGCCCAGGCGGACGTGAGACGGAGGCCCGCGCCGAGCGAGTGCGAGCTGCATCGGCGGCCATGTCTCCCGCAGCCGCGAGCGAGCAGCTCAAAGAGGCAGCATCGCGCATGCTTTTCGGAAACGTTCTCTATTGATTCTGCGTCTGTCCTCTTCTTTCTCCCCTTCTTGTATGCTTTGCACATCGCGTCGATTCCTTTTCGCGTGAGCACCAGCCTGAAGCCCGCCCAGCAGCTGAACCGCTCCCTAAGTCGAAGGAGCATCATCAGTCTCACCCACTTCGCTCGCTGCCCACCGTCTCCGCTCCCTCCCGCTTGAGCCGCGTCGATTCCTTTTCGCGTGAGCACCAGCCTGAAGCCCGCCCGGCAGCTGAACCGCTCCCTTAAGTCGAAGGAGCATCGTCAGTCTCACCCACTTCACTCGCTGCCCACCGTCTCCGCTCCCTCCCGCTTGAGCCGCCGTCGCGGCCCTCGTTCGTCCCACTGGCTGTTGGCCCGCCCCTGCGTTGCCTCCGTTATCCCTCCTCCTCCGCGACTCCCTCCGTCGGCCGGCGTGCACAGCACTCCTAGCTGGCTCCCCGCTCGTAGGATTCTATCCGCCTCGTGTATGTCGTCTCGCGGCGCATCACCCTTCCTCTCTCCGAGTCGGGTCGGGCCCTTCTCCTGGGGGTCATGAACACGTCTCCGCCACCTGCCCCTTCGCCCTCTTCCAATTGATGCGTCGCGGTGCCACGCCCGTACCGTCTCCTCCCCCCGCCTCCTCCTTCCCTATCGCGCAGCCGCCGCGCCGCGCCCCGCCCGATGATTAATAATTAAGATTACCCGGAATACGGTACGCAATTAAGGAATTAATGAAGTGAATTAATCAATTAAGTGAGCGCCCTCGCGTCACCTATGACTCGACCAGTGCGAAGGTGAAGAGATGTCACCGAGCATGCGTGCAGCTGGCCCGGAGGGGAGAGAGAGAGAGAGAGAGAGAGAGAGAGAGAGAGAGAGAGAGAGAGAGAGAGAGGGAGGGGGGAGAGAGAGAGAGAGAGAGAGAGAGAGAGAGAGAGAGAGAGAGAGAGAGAGAGAGGGAGAGGGAGAGAGAGAGAGAGAGACCCGAGAGAGAGAGAGAGAGAGAGAGAGAGAGAGAGCCGAGAGAGAGAGAGAGAGAGAGAGAGAGAGAGAGAGAGAGAGAGAGAGCAGAGAGAGAGAGAGAGCAGAGAGAGAGAGAGCAGAGAGAGAGAGAGCAGAGAGAGAGAGAGCACAGAGAGAGATATTGAAAATGGCGACAACAGTGCCGAGCAGCAGCAGCAGCACGCCCACGGCCCGAGCCAGAGCGAGGAGACGGAACGGCCGAGCCGACAACGGAGGCAGCGAGCAAAAAGGCAGCTCGGCGCGGCTCGCGCGCCGCGTGCGCCAAGCAGCCGAGGCTGCCGAGGAGGCCGAGGAGGCCGAGGAGGCCGAGGAGGCCGAGGAGGCCGAGGAGGCCGAGGAGGCCGAGGAGGCCCCCCCCTCCCCCCCGGCGACTCGAACCGGGAGCCAGTCGACGCACGAACGGAACGCTCGCACATCACCGGATATGTCAACTCGCAGCAGCGAGGCAGCAGCTCATATACAGTGGACTTTACTCAAAGCAGCGCAGAAGCGCTCGCAGAGCGGTGCGCAGCGCCGCGCACGCCACGCCGCGGGCGGTCGGACGAGCGCAGCGTACGTCGGCCGCGAGCCGCGTCGCCAGCCGTCTCGCGAGAGAGCGGCGCCACCACGTGCGCGCAGCAGCCGCCGCGGCAGAGACGAGCCGCGGCGACGTCCGCTAACTGCCATTGGAGGTCCCAAGCAAAAATAAAAAACAAACCACGGCTCAAACTTCGCAAAAAAAGACGGAGTCGCCCGCCTCGCAACCCACACGACATGGAGGAAAGAGTAGTAATGGTCACGGGTGGCAGCGGTCTGGTCGGCAAGGGCATCCAGGCCGCCCTAGCCAACGGCCGCTGTGGCGAGACGCCCGCCAACGAAAAGTGGGTCTACCTCTCGAGCAAGGAGGCAGACCTGCGGGACCGGCGCGTGCCACGCACATTGCCACACACACTCCCTGCCACGCACGCACGCGACCCCGCGGTGAAGTAAGCTCGTGTGTCTGAGCCTGCAAAAGTACCTGTGCGTTGTTCGCAGGGAGTCGACGCGACTTGCATACGAGAAGCATCGGCCCACGCACGTGATCCACCTCGCGGCGATGGTGGGCGGACTCTTCAAAAACATGAGCCACAAGGTCAGTAGTCACCGCTTTGCCATGTGCTGCGGTCAGCGGTCAGCCTGACCGCTCTGCTCTCTCCTGCGCGCGGCGCAGGTGGAGTTTTGGCAGCAGAACGTGGCCATCAACGACAACGTAATGCACTGGGCCAAAGAGTACAAGGTGGCTCGGTAAAGTGCACCTTCCGAGCTTGCGAGACGCTTCCGACACTCGCGCGGCGTGTCGCACAGGTGCAAAAGCTTGTCTCCTGCCTGTCCACCTGCATCTTCCCGGACAAGACTTCTTACCCGATCGACGAGACGATGATCCACTCGGGCCCGCCGCACCAGGCGCCTTCCGAGACCCGTCCGAGACCCTTGCGTGACCAGTCGCTGCCCCAGCCCACGCTGCCCCCGCCGAGCCGGACGACTGCTAGCAACTGTGCCACCGCACCGCCCCGCCGCCCTCACCCCCGCCCACTCCCTGCCACGCCAGTCCAACGAGTCGTATGCCTACGCCAAGCGCATGATCGACGTGCTCAACCGGTGCTACAACGAGGAGTACGGCTGCAACTTCACCTCGGCGCGCCGCCACGCCGCTAGTCTCCTCCCCTCCCCACACAGCACGGCGTGCATGGCCCGCCCTTTCGCCGCTTGTACCAGCAGTCGGCGGCGCCTCGCGCTTGCACCGCTCCACCCCCTCGTTCGCCCGCGCCCGCACGCCCGCGCGCTGCGCTACAGGTCGTCCCCACAAACATCTTCGGTCCGCACGACAACTTCTCCATCCAGGCGCGCCTCATAGGAAGAGCGGAATACAACTAGCACGGCGGGCAACCTCCATCGACGAACCGTCTTCCTCCGCCTCGCCGCCCTCCCTCTCCACCGCTTCCCTCGCTGCCGCTCCCCTCGCTGCCGCTCTTCCGCGGCCCTCGCCGCCGCTCCCCTCGCCAAGCCACTCGCTGCCGATTTCCCCGCCGCCGCCGCCATCGCTGCCGTCGCTTCCTGCCGCCGGTTCCCCCTCTGCCGCCCATTGCTGCCGCCTTCCCCGCCCCCCACATGGCGGAGCAGAGTGCACGAGGCGCGTCCGCGACGCGTCCATGACGCGTCCCCGTAGGACGGCCACGTCCTGCCCGGCCTGATGCACAAGTGCCTGCTTGCGCAGCGTGGCGAGAGCGGCCCGTTTACCATTTGGGGCTCAGGCGCTCTCACTCCCACCCACACTGACACACACACACACACACACACACACACACACACACACACACACACACACACACACACACACACACACACACACACACACACACACACGCACACACACACGCACTCTCACACACACGCACACACACACAACTCTCGTGCACTGGGGTCTTGCACTCTGAATGCCGGGGGTGGGGCCTGCCTGCCTCACGTGGCGATGCGGGGCATAGCCTGGACCAGCGTGAAGAGCTTTGGGCTTCTACTGGCCGCAGGCACGCCGCTGCGCCAGTTCATCTTCAACGAGGATTTGGGCGCGCTGATGGTGGTGAGCCGTTTCCTAGAACCTTCCACCACTGGAGCCCTGTGGCAAGATCGCCTCTGTGGCTTGTCGGGGCTAGCGCGCCCGACAGTTCATCGCGGGCTCGCACCCGCCGCTGCTCTGAGGGCAGCTCCTCCTCGCTTCCCTCCCCTCCCGCTGTGCAGTGGACGTTGCGCAACTATGACTCTCCCGAGCCGATCATTCTCTCTGTCGGAGAGGAGGATGAGGTGACGATCCGGGACGCGGCGCTCGCGGTGGTGTCCGGGATGGGCTACACCGGCGAGGTGGTCGTTGCCACCTCTGAGAAACCTCCGAGACACCTCCTCGAGCCACATGCCCGCCGCTCCGTCGCGCGCCTCCGCGCCCTCGGCACGCCACAGCAGCACGCCGACCGTCCGTGACACGTCCGCTAGGTGGTCTTTGACACCACCAAGAGCGACGGGCAGCACAAGAAGACCGCTTCCAACGCCAAGCTGATGGCGCTTCACCCGGAGTTCCAGTTCACGCCCTTCAAGCAGGCTGTCAAGCAGACGTGCGAGTGGTTCAAGGCCAACTACGACACTGCGAGGAAGTGAGGGCGCCCTTCCCGCCGCGGCCGCGGGGTGCACGGACCCCCCATCACCGCGGTTTGAACGACGGCTCACTGTCGCCCGAGGAGATTTGCGACGTTTTGCTGCGTGGCGTGTGCTTTTTTGCCTGTCTGTGAGCTGTGTGCGTGAGTCAGCCGTGAGGGTCCGCAGGCGCGTGTTTTCTGTCCCGTCTCCTCGTGAGGCGGTGCCTGGCGCCTCGGAGCTCGTTTACGTAGGGTCGGACCGGAGATTTTAATACATGCTATGCGATGGGCTCGCCCTCACTGGCCCCCAGTCACTTGTCTCTTGTGCTGCGGCGCTAGTGTGAGTGTGAGCGACACTGCTCGGCGACTGCCGGCACACTGTGAGACCATGGGTGTGAGGTAAAACCATGCTACCAGCGCTTGGTCACAGCGGCCCCGAGGTCAGATCCTTCTACTCTGTTGATGACAAGACTTGTCTACTCGCTGGAGCCGAGCAGGAGGGCCCGGCGCACAACCCCTGGTCAACTCACCCTCCGCCCCCTTGCGAGTGCACTGTGAGTGCTCTCTGAGTGCTCTCTGAGTGCTCTCTGAGTGCTAGAGAGTGCTTGCGAGTGCATGGTGAGTGCTCTCTGAGTGCTAGCGAGTGCTTGCGAGTGCATGGTGAGTGCTCAGATGGTCAGGGGGGGATTATGGTGATTTTCAGAAAGTCGCCTCGGGGCACAAACGAACACTGGCGCTGGGAGTACAGGTGCTGAGGATCACAATGGTATATCACTAAGAGTCTAACACGGTCTAGTACTGACACAGCGTCCCGACAAACACACTCAAAATTCTCACTGCTCCGTGCGTCCCGGCGGCACATGCGGCGGCACTGGCGGCGCCGAGGGTCGGCCGTGGGCGCCTCCACGGCGCCGAGCTCGCGAGGGTCATACCGCCAGCTGTACACCTGCTTGTGTGTCTTCGGGCTCCACTTCTTTGGCAGCAGGAACAGCCATTGCTCGCCCGCTTCCTCGTCGAACTCCGGGTCCGCGTCCCAAGCCCAGAGCACAGCGCCGGCCGGCAAGACCGACCTCGCACGCTTCGACCTCTTGTCAGAGAGCCCGTCGGCGACCCGGACGACGCGCCCGGTCGACCAGATCATGTGCGGCTGGTTGGTGTCCTTGTCGGCGTACTTCCAGAGTACCTGAGGGCACGGCTCGGCGGCACAGTGTGAGCGTGTGTCCCGACCGAACACGCTGCTGCTCGACGGCACACCTCGAGCCGCTTGCCGACAAGCGCCGAGTCGAAGGCGGGAGCCTGCTCCTGCTGCCTCCACTCCGTATCATCGGAGATGCCCGCCGCAATGCGCCGCTCCACCTCCGCCTCGGCCTTCCGCTTCAGCTCGTCCGAGTTGAATCGCGTCGTAGACCGCACCTCCACCGCGTCGGCGTCGAGAGTGCCAAGCTGCGTCGAGCCGCCCGCTGCCAGCTGCGGGGGCGCCGCCTCCGTTGGCAGCCCCGACATGCTGTTCGGAGCAAAGTGCTTGCGCGCCTTCTCCTCCTTGATGAGCTCCTCGAGCAGCTTGGTCAGGTGCGCGACGGTGCCGATCCTAGAGTCGGCCGCGAGGGGTGTCTTGTGGTTCTTGCCCAAAAATGCGTGTGGTTTTTGCCCATGCATTACAATGCAACGTATGCGGGAATGTGCATATGAATGCAATTGAATGCATCGAATGCATAATGCAACGAAATGCAATCACGCGCAAAATGCATCGAATGCATATGCAACGAAATGCAATCACGCGCAATATGCAACGAAATGCAATCACGCGCGAAATGCATCGAATGCATATGCAACGAAATGCAATCAGCGAATGCAGTTGTAATGCAGTTGTAATGCAGGCGATGCATGCGAATGCAAAAAATGCACTGCATGGGCAAAAACCACACGCATTTTGGGCAAGAACCACACTTTTCCCGGCCGCGGACGACCAGCGAGTCGCGTACTCGCGCTCCAGCCGAGCCCGAGCACGCGCATCTCGATCTGGTAGCGCAGGAACTCGAGCTGCTGCGCCTCCGGCTTAGGCCTGCCGTGCGGGTAGTTCGGCACCGGCTTCCCGTCGTGCAGCGCCTTGGCCACCTGCAGCGCGGACGTAGCTCGCTGCCCGTCCGGCGCGGCCTACGCCGCACGGGCAGAAAGAGCTCCTTGGCGTACGCGTATCGCTCCACCGCCTTGTTGAGCATCGCGTTCACGCGCTCCTCGCGGCGCTCGAGCTTCTCCGCCGCCTGCGCCTTGAGCGCCTGCCGGCCGGCGTCGCGCGCGCTCGCCACTTCGAGTCGCGCGAACTCGACGAGCGACTCGCGCTGCCGCTCCGTCAGGCCCGAGTAGAAGTAGCCCCCCGAGTGCGCCTGCGCCGCATGCTTACGCTTGCGTCGGTCATGTAGGGTGTTGGGCGGCCGGTCGAAGTCGTGCATCCTCATCTGCTGCGCCATGCCCGACACCGACTCAACTGTCGCGTGCCGCCACATCCGCATCAGGATGTCGAGGCAGCCGAAGTTCGACTCGACGCGGTCGTTGGTCGCGTGCGCGCCGGCCGTCGCAGCGTTGCGGCCCGGATCAGCGCCGACGGCGAACTTGCCCCCCTGCGGCACCAGCATGCTCGAGATCGAGCGCCGCGGGCCGCGCATCGCGAACAGCGCCGCCTCGGCCATCTCCTCGGCCAGTGAGATGACGCGTGCCTCGCATTGGATGTTGCCCGCGCGCGTCGGCTCGCGCGCCTCTGCCAGCACCATCGCGTGGATCGGGTAGAACGTGCCGTCCGCCGCCTTGAGCTCCCCCTTCGCGTGCGCCGCGCGCCACGCCGCGAACTCCGGGTACTTGGCCGCGAAGGAGGCGAAGGGGTCGTAGGCCGGGTCGAGCAGCCGGCGGCCGTCCGCGGCGACGGCCTGCATCATGTCGTAGATGGCGTCGAGCAGCTCGCTCGAGTCGTCGAGCCCCCAGCCGAGCTCGCCCGCCTTGCCGGTGAGCCAGCGCGCCGGCTCGGAGAAGATGTACTTCCAAAGCACATTGACTCGCAAAGCCGCCGTCATCTCGTTGCAGCTCAATACGGTGAGGAGGAAGTTCTCGAGCTTGTTGTCCGCGCCCGTGACCTTCAGTGCCTGCAAGAACTCGAGCGTGCGCTGCTTGTTCCAAAACAGCGGCACCGAGCCGTCGAGCACGCCGTCCTGCCGGTTCCCCTCCGGGCGCTCGTATGGGAGGTGCGGCGCCGAGGGGTGCACCGTCTCAGCTCAGGCGGCCGCCTCGCGCCCCTTGCCCAGAGCGTACGTCTGCGGCGGGGCTGGCGGGGGGCGGTCAAGCGCGCACATGATGCTTAGTGAGGCGGGGCTCGGGCGGTGCCTGGCTCGTGTGCAGCTCCTTACCCGCCGCATAGATCAGGTCGTTCACGGCAACACTCATCCGCTCGTACGAGGAGAAATCGTCGAGCGAGTCCTCGAGCTCCGCCTTGAGGGACTCGGTCTGCTTCAGCGACTGCGTGTTAATGATGATGTTGCGCTGGTGCTGCCCGCAGCGCCCGATGTACGACTTGACCTTGGAGTCTCGCTCCGCCTGGTCCATCCCCGCCCAGGCGGCCTCGCCGACCGCCGCCCTGCCCGCCGACTCCGCCGCCGCCACCAGGAGCTGCTTGAGCTTCTCCGCACCGTTGCAGGTGTCGCCCTGGATGACGGTGTGTTCGGAGAGGCGGTGCATGCCCAGCGAGTCGGGCGGTGGCCCGCCGTCCTGCTCCCAGCTGCCGGCGCCGAACTTGGCATCGTGGACCTTCGACCAGCCCGCAATATACGCTCGCCCGTGCGCGACTTGCTACCTGCGGAGAGCACTGCGCCGCGCATCACTACGTCGACCGTCTCTCCCGCCGCCGCCCCGTGCTCCTCGATCTGAGTATTGGTCGACACGACGCCGAGGCCGTACTTGCTCGACTCGTCGATGCCGAACGAGACGACGCGCTTCGCCTTGGCCACGCGCACGTATTTGATGCACTCGCCCGCGATTGTGAGCTCCATGCGCCGCGCCCGCATCTGCCGCGCGGCCGGCTCGTGGTACACGACGTCGGGCGCCAAGGCGGTGAGACGTTGGCGCCAATCGCCCGCCTGAAACCGCCCGCGCTGGTTGCGGCGCTGCTGCGCCGCGCCGCCGCCCTCCTCCTCGTCGCTCTCGCTCTCGCTCTCGCTCTCACACCTCGCTCGCAGCTCCTTGGCCTCCGCCTTGGCGGCCTTGAGCGTCTCCTGGGTGGCGTCGAGCTTCTTCGCCGCGTTCTCCACCTTGCGTGCGCGCTTGCGAGCAGTCGAGACCTGCTTCGCCTTCTCCTCGAGCGCCGCCACGTGCGCGAGGCCGGCGTCCGCGAGCTTCTTGTTTGCCCGCTCAAGCTTCTTGGTCAGCATCACTACGCGCACGTAGGACGCGCGCTCGACGGCCGCGTCGAAGTTCCGCTTGCGCGTGGCGAGCTGCGCCGCCCGCGCCGCCTTCTGCGCCTCGGAGTAGCCGCGCTGCTGCGCCTCCTTGAGCTCGTTCCTTGCAGCCCGCTTGCGCGCCGCCCGCTTCAAAGCCTTTTGGTGCCTGTCGGCAAAGTTGGCGCGCTCCGGGCGGCAAACCTGCAGCTCGCGCTCGAGCGCGTCGATCTTCTGGTCGCGCAACGCGATGGTCGCGGTGAGCGCCGCGTTCTCCTCTATCATACTGGGAGCAGAAGGCAGCGCGGCCGCCGCCAGAGGCTTGCCGAGAGCGACGCGCAGCAGCGCGCCGCGCCGGTGGATCAGGTCGGCGACGCAGCGTCGCCGACCACGTGAGGAGGCGCTTCGGCTTCCTCTTCGCGCCCGTCGGCGTCACGCCGCGCAAGTGGCCCTCCTTCTTGGTAGCAACGACTTGTAGTTTGTCAGCTGGTCGTCGTTGATGTCGTCGCGTGCGCCGCGCCCTGACCAGCGCATCGCCGCTCGCATCACGAGCACCTTCGTCCCTTCGTCCCACGCTCGCGCGCACACGTCCTTGATGGGCACGAAGGCGTCGACGGGAGCCGCCGCCGCCGACCAGAGCTCCTGCTCCTGCGCAGCTTCGGCTGCGTGCGCAGCGAGCCTCGACGCCCATTCGTGGGTCTTCTCGGGGCTAGGTTCGAAGTGGATCACGAGGAGGGCGATGACGAGAACCTCCGTGTCGCTGGCGTGGGCGTCGCCTGGCTCGAAGAACCTCGAGCCCGTGGAGGTGATGGCAGGCAGAAGTTTTTCTCCTGCGTATGCGCGAAAGCGAGCGTGAGAGAACGTGATCTGTGGCCACGCGCACCGGGTCGGCCAGAAAGCTCATCGCCGACGGTCGCTCTGAGGGCCGGGGCGGCCCCGGGGTAGCCGCCGTGCGCCCGCCCGAGCTGTGCAAGGTGCTTGGCAAGCCGTGTGAGGTTGATCCGTGTCCCCGCCGCAGCAAACCATGGCTATCTTCTACATTCACAGGGTGGGCTTCGGGCATGGACCCCAGGCGAAGTCAAGGCGATGGTTTCTAGAGCAAGCTCTAGATAAAGTTGCCTTGACCGCCGAAGGAGGTCCACGGCGTTTTCAGGGCTGGGACTCGGCGGCGGTCTCTACGAGTGAGAGGCTTCGTGCGACCGCCGACAGGGCGGGCCGCCAAGTAAACTCTAATGTTTCTACTACGCTCTCTGTTCATACGACACAGTGCATTACGACGGTTGGCGCGGCCGGCGCGGCTCTCCCGCGCCGTGCCCGAGACTCCTTTCTCCGCTTTCTCTATTCCATTAATTCATTATCGGTTATTTCATTCGTTCGCTTGTCTGTGCGTTCGTTTAAGGGCTCGGCGCCCTTGCCTACCATCACCGTCGTGCCAGCGGTCTCGTGGTCTCCCAGAAAGAGCGGTCGAAGCGGTCTCGTGGTCTCGGCCAGAAAGAGCATCGCCGACAGTCGCTTTGACTGGCCAGGGCGACCCCGGGGAAGCCACCGTGCACCCGCCCGACCAGTCCAAGGTGCTTGGCAGCACTTGGTAGCTTGAGGCGTGTCTCACAGCCCTGGCCGTGAAGCGGTACCGCCCCAGCCTCCGGCGACCCGACGGCCGCCTCCGCGGCGGCGGCGCCCGCGCGCCGAGCTGCAGCTCCATCGCCAGGGCCAAGCAGTCCGGGCCCTGAGGCCCCCGAGCAGTGCAAACATCCATCGCTTCCATGCCTCGAGGAGCGATCTACCGGCTGTCACCCGTCATCATAGACGCCGAACGAAAACGCCTCTCAACCGCCTCGAGCGAGATTCACTTTGGGTTTGGGGCTTGGAAAATGAATGTTTTAGTGGACCATATCCCCCCTATCATTATGTAATTTTGTCTTTTCACACCCTCGCTTGCGCCACCGTGTCATATAACTAAAAAAAGTGTATTCTTAAAGTAAACACGCATGCGTGTACCCAGTTTCTCCGAGACCTCGCGAGCGGGCAGTGTGGTCTGGGCCGGGCAGGGTAGTGTGGGTTTCACCCGGGGCAACACATACGGCTTTAGCCTTTAGACTTAGTCACCAGCGATCGAGCGACACCTAGCCGGAGACCCGCGCGCCCGTACGCCGTACGTAGGATCGTGTAAGGTCTTGCCGTACACTTGCCGGATGCCGCGCGTTTGGCCGTTGTTCGTTGACGGCGGATGAGACACGTCGTGGACGTGCGGCTCTATCGCATGTGCATGCAGCGCCGGCGGGGCGCCGGCGTCCCCGCGTGTGTGGCACCACGCAGCCCCCCCCCCCCCCCCACACCCCAGAGAGAGTGGAGAGAGAGGTCCTGTGCGCCCCACTTTCAGTGCGCCCCGCCCCCAGGAGCGGCGGGACCCCCGGGGCGGGGCGCGCCTGCGCCGCCTGGAGCCCTTGTCATGCCTTGTGCGGCCGCCGCAACAGAGGATAGTACACGTAGGCTACTTTGGGAGTTGGGACGTAGACGCACGACTCGAAAAAACATGCCAGGAGCGAGCAGGGTCCAAAGTGTGTCCCACACACCACATCTGAGACTCTCTTCATGTCATGGCCACCCTCTCGCGCGCTCGCTCGAGAGCTCGCCGCTTCCCCCGCTCTCGCGCCGCTTCAAGCTCCGCTTGCTGCGGCGCTGAGGCCTCAAGAGCTTCCCCGCGCCGCCTGGCCGTCCCGCTCTCGGCAAGCGGGCCACGGCCGAACCCGTTCGCCATTGCGGTCGGCGGCGCCTCCCGCGCCTACGCCAGTGAGGGCAGCACTTGTGAGGCAAGGGAGCAGGGGGGGGTGAGAGGCAGCATTGGAGTGGGGGGGCGGGGGAACGGGGTGCAGCGGGGGAATGGGAAGCAGCAATGGAAGTGGTGGAGGTGAGGGAGGATGGCAGCGCTGCATGAGGCCCGCGCCTCTGCACGCAACTCGTGAAGCTGCTCGAGCTGAAGCGCCTAGAGAAACGAGCTGACGCGTGGGCGGTCTGGGAGCACACGACACCTTGCCGTCTGCGGCGCCTCGTCCGCGCTAAACGCGCGCTGCTGCAAGTAGTCATCCTCGCGCAAGTCCGCCGGCAGCGGCTGCAGCCGGTGGCGGAGCGCCGCGGCGATCGGCGCAAACTCGGCCCACTGGCGTTTGCTCAGCAGCAGCACGGATGCACCGAGGGTGCCTGCGCCGCGCGGAATGGCACCGAAAGGTGGTGGATGCGGCCAAGTGGGCAATGAGGTGGGCTCTGGCTGCGCGGAGGATAGGGTGAGCGAGAAGGGCGGGTGAGCGGGGGCGGCGCCGTAGCGGCCGGTGCGGCCCACGCGGTGCAAATAGGTTGGCAGCTCGCGAGGGGCGTCAAGGTGGATGACGAGCGAGACGCGGCCTGTGGGACAAGTCGCGGACAGGTCTGGAGATGTGTCCTCGACGTCGAGGCGGGGAGGGTGAGGGGATGTCTCGGCGGTCTCACCAAAGTCGACGCCGCGCGCGAGCAAGTCTGTGCAGACCAGCAGACGCAGGGAGAAAGCGCGAAACTGCGCAACGGCGCCGGATCGCTCCGACTGCGCCAGTCGGGCGGAGACGTAGCCGGCGGGGAAGCCGGCGGCAGACAGGCCAGCCGCCATCCGCGCGCCGCGCGCCGCGTCGTTGCAAAAAATGAGGGCCTGGAGGTGGGAGGGAGGGCAGTTCGCCAAGCTTTGGGTGCCGCGGCGACGAGGTGTAATGATGGCGACGGAGGCGGCGGTGGCGAGAGGGGCGGCGGTGGGGAGGGGCGGCGGTGGGGAGGCGCTCGCGAGAGGAACTAGGTGGCGGGCGCCTGGTGGAAAGTGAGCCGGTCGAGCAGCGAGAGCAGCGCCGCCGCCTGGGCGCTGCTGTGGTTGCCCCGCGGCAGCAGGCTGAAGAACTGGCGCACGCCGAGCAGCGCCGCCGCCTCGTCGCCGCCGCCGCCGCCGCCCACTCCGCCGCCACCTCCGGCCGGCGCGGCGGCGGCGGCGGCGGCGGCGTCGAGGATCGCGTCAGCCTCGGCATCGAGCGGCGCACCGCGCACCTAGCGAATGGGGCGTGGCGCGTCCGCGGCAGCAGAGAGGTGGACAGCGCGTGGAAGAGCACGAGCGAGCTGAGGTCCGGCGCGCGCACACGCGGTGTGCCCAGGGAGGCGGAGACATCCCGGAAGTCTCCCGGAAGTCTCGCCTCGCGGACGAGGGAGAGCTCGTGAGGCCGGCGCATTGCTGCGCGGAGCGCGGCGAGCAGCGGTGGCGGATAGGTGGCGGAGAAGGCGAGGGTCTGCCTGTGTAGTTCGGGCGGGGGTGAGGGGTGGGGGCGGGCGGCAGGCGGGTGGCGGCGACGAGAGTGTTTGCTTGCGCGCAGGCAGCGCCGTGAGCAGGTAGCGCAGCTGGGGCTCGAAGCCCTCCTCCGCAAGCTTATCGGCCTCGTCGAGCACGAGTAGCCGCACGCGCTCCACCACCATCGCCTCCCCGATCAGCAAGCCGACGAGCCGGCCTGCGAACACGTCGCATTGAGGTGCCATGGACACACGCCTCATCATGGGCGGGCTCCGGAGGGATCGTTCGGAAGGTTGCGAGGCTGGGCCACGGCGGGCAGGCGCTCACCGGGTGTGCCGCACGCGAGCTCGCAGCGGGTGGCGGCCGCGGCGTCGGCCTTGACGCGAGTGCCGCCGATGAAGGTGCCGATGCGCACACCGCGCATATGCGCGCCGATCGCGCGGCACACACCCGCGGTCTGCAGCGCCAGCTCGCGCGTCGGCGAGACGAGCAGCGCTTGTGGCCCGCCGCGGCCCGCCACCACGCCCTCCAAAGCGACGACGGCGAAGGCGGCCGTTTTGCCGGTGCCCGACTTTGCTCGCGCCACCAGGTCCGCGCCAAACCGGCCAAGCGGGATGGCGGCCGCCTGGACGGGCGACGGCCGCTCAAAGCCGGCGTCGCGCAGGCCGCGGATGACGGCGTCCGAGAGCGAGAGCTCGGCAAAAGAGGGCAGCGCGCTCTCCTCGACGTCGGCGGTGCGTACGACCATATGCTCTTGACATAGGCCACTGTGCTGCATGAATGCTTGCCCAGCTGTGAACAACACCTCGTGCCACGGCAGCCGCAGGCGCCTGTTGATGGGTCCAGGTGATAGCCCTGGATGGGCAATGCATACGCCTAGTTGGGCCTCAGATCGCCCGACCGCGTCCCGGTGCTCTGTGGTCGGATTTGTGACGCCGCCGCACCGCGCCGCGGCCGGGGGCCCTCCGGAGGCCAAGGATGGCCGTGGCGGACCGGGACGAGCTCTGGGAGGTAGAGTGTCAGTGTATATATTGTAGAGGCCAACCTTGTGCACAATATCTCTCAGTCTAGCTAAGCCAGGGGAGGCGATTCCGGGGCCGTACAGCAGCTTGATGGTGCTTCGCCGGCGTGCGTCCCGGAGCGGTCCCGGTTGGGCGGTCCGGGGGAGAAAACTCAGGACAACGCCGACACCGCTCTGATTCCACTTTTTACTTCAAACAAAGACAGTGGCACGCGCCGCGGCGCGGTGCATGCCACTGTCAGGAGCGGATCCGCCAGTTAGTCGTGTTCACGCCGGGATCGTGTCCTGAGTAACCTGGGCAACCATTCAGGGCGACGAGTAGGGGTGGTTGAAGGGTTGAGGGTTGAGGCCCCCCCTCAACCATCTGGTTGACGGTTGAGACCCCCCGTCAACCCTTTAGTTGGGGAGTGGCAACTCGTCGGAGCTTCCGGCTGGGGACATCTAGGGGGAGCTGGTCGTTTCCGCAGGCGAAAGGATAAGACGACCATGCTCGAGAAAGAAAGAAAGAATGCAGCCGGCAGGGGGGACGATTGCTGAGGGGCCAAGATATGCCGCGAGGAGGGCGGAGTTGCGCCGAAAGGCGAAAGAAGCCGCGAGAACAAGGGATCGGCAGGCGGCGGCGGCGTCGCCGGACGAGGCAGACGAGAGCGACGCGACAGAGGAAGAAGTGACAAGGGAGAGAACGACGAGAGTGGGACGACCGCGAGGTGGCATGAAGGTTGCAGCGAGAATCGGCGAGAGACTGCGAAGAGAGATAGGAAGAGGCGGACGCCCAAGGGGTGGGTGACGCTAGCGCATCACACCCCTCTCCTTAAAATCCCTGTGTGGTGGCGGCGTGCCGCCCTCCCATCCCTCCCTTGGGTTGTCTGTTTTCTTTCTTTCTTTTAGGGACGATTGCTCGAGGACCGGGTGGTGTGGGCCACCGAGTTTCTTTTTTTCGCACGAGTCTGGTGTACCTGTGTTACTGTACCCACTCACTGTCGTGCGAGGGAGCCTCGTTGAGAGAGAGAGATTTTTAGCAATACCAAACAACTCTACACTTTTGTTTGTCCTCGTTGTAAAATTCTTTTTGACGGCGCAAGATATGAAGGGTGGCTATAAGGGCTCTGCCCGCATAAGTCTGTCCACGCTCTTATTGCAATAAAGGCCTCTTTTCGGGCTTGGGGACGCGCGCGATTGGGACTCGTGGCGCCTCCCAGGCCCGCCGCAGCGGTCCCGTGGGTACCTGCCGTCCGTACCGGTCCACAGGCTGGCCATGGGCACATTCGGACCGAACTCGCTGCGCAATCCGGTCTCGGTGTTGCTGTCGGCGGCCGGCAGCCCTCGGGGGTCGAGTCGCCGGATGTTTTTTGCCACACGTGCTCGAGCGTCGAGCTTCCGGCGTTCCCAGTCGCAACTCCCTCCGGCGAGGTGGCTGACATTGCACAATCTCATCGGTGGCGCACTCGGAGAGCACCAGTGCTCTTTCGGTGGGCTGTCGTGGGGTGGTGCACGACACGCATTGAGAGGAGCCGAGAGAAGCAGCGGCTGTGGGGCTTCCACGGCTGCCAAAGGGTGGTTCACGACTACTCTGAGCAGGGCTGTGCTTTGGTTGGGGCTAATTTCGAGAGTTGTGTAGTAGTGAAACAGGGTGTCTGTGAGCTGTAATGTGCGCGTGAGGGCCGTGTGTGGGGTGTTATGAGCCGGTGTGAGCTTAAAGACCCAGGATCAGTGCGGTTTGGGACAGCTCAGGCCTGCTACTGATGGGCCTGGGCCAGGAGAGCGACAGAAAAGGCGAGGTGGTGAGCTGGGAAGCCGCTTCGTCGGCACCTGGACGTGTCGCTCGCGATGAACTGCCAAAAAGCACCTTTCGCGGCTATTGCTCAAAATTGTGGGAGAGAAGGCCTACGTTTTGTGACTGCATCCATGCACCTGGTGCATGAGGGCTGTGGGACGTGACGTTTCACGGTCGGTGGCGCCGATAATGACCACCGGAAAGCCCTCGCAATCACCTCGGATGGGGTCCACCGGGGACAATCTCGAGCCCTCTCCGTCGCATCACGAGCCGGTGTGAGCTTAAAGACCCAGGATCAGTGCGATTTGCGACAGCTCCAGGCTGGTACTGATACGTATGAGCCTCGAGAGGGACGAGGAAGGCCACTCGGGGTCATGACACGAGTCTTACGGGCTCCTAGACGCCCGTTTCACCCATAGACACCGCCGGCACGCACTCCCACTTCACACATGCTCAAGCACAACCCCACCAAAGCACAGCCCTGCTCAAACTGGGCAAGGTCCCCCACTTGGTGACCCAGGTAGCCTCTGGCTCGCCACTGCACTCGGCTCCTCTGCAGCTGTCTCGGGCTCTCCCCACGACAGCACCCCGACGGCAAGCTTTGACGCCCGTCTGGTGGGCCTGCTGTGGCCAAAGCCGCCCCTCACATGCAGCTCGCACCATGACTCGACACTGGGCCCTCTCATCCCGGTCGTGGCGGCGTGTGTGAAGGATGCGCGGCAGAGCCGCTGGCTGGCGCCGCTTGAACGTCCGAGAGCAGCCTCCAGGAGGCGAAATGGGTCGCGGTGCATGTCGCCATCGGCCTCCGGGGGTGGGCCCAGGGCCAGGCCGCTCTAGGCGCCCGCAATACCCGGCAGAGCCCGGCATTGGGGCCGCGCGCGGCGCTGACACAACCCGACGGGTTTGAGGGCCGCCCGCCCAAGAGCCCGCCGACGATCGATCAGTCCACTCTTGCCCGCCAACAGAAATCCCAGAAAGCCAATTGCTGGACTTGGGCCTGCGGGCGGCTTCTCTCGAGGTCTCGCCCTCCCCCCTCTGACGCCGCCGTATGACCTTAGGTGAGGGGCACGACTACCCGCCTGGAAGGCGCTCTCATCAGCAAGTCACCCAGGCACCAACTCCTCCCCTGGCTTAGCTAGACTGAGAGATATTGTGCACATGGTCAGTCTCTACAATGTATACACTGACACTTCACCTCCCAGAGCTCGTCCCGGTCCGCCACGGCCATCCTCGGCCTCCGGAGGGCCCCCGGCCGCGGCGCGGTGCGGCGGAGTCACAAATCCGACAGAGCACCGGGACGCGGTCGGGCGATCTGAGGCCCAACTAGGCGTATGCATTGCCCATTCAGGGCTATCACCTGGACCCATCAACAGGCGCCTGCGGCGCCGTGGTCACGAGGTGTTGTTCACACCTGCCCAACCATTCATGCAGCACAGTAGTCTGATCAAGCGAGAAAAAATCTTGCGACGACAGCCAGAGGCACGTCGCGCCCTTCACGTCGACGTCGGCACAGCCAAAGGCAGGTCGTCGATGCCCAAGAAGGGCGTCAAGCGGCCGCTCGGTGCGCCACCCACCAATGAGGAACTCTCCGCATACAGCGAGACGGAGCTCTTGTACAAGTCTAACCTTTTCCGCCTCTCCACTGCCGAGCTCATCAAGGAGGTGGTGCCGCCGCAGAGCAGCCAGCTCGAGGTGGCGGTGCGCGCGCTGCGCGGCGAGATCCTCTCGCTCCCGCCCGCGGAGCTGTCCTGGGAGGACCGCGGCATTGGCAAGCCCCCTCTCGTCTCGCATGCGGAGCTCTCTGGCCTGCGGCTCGCCAACCACAAGGTCTCCCTGCCGTGGGCGCCGCCGGAACACGTCGAGCTCATCGGCTCATACCTGCTGCGGACGGTCGTGCGGCCATCGCTCGACGTCGACGTTGCCGTGCGCATCCCTCGCGCGTGCCTCCTGTCCAAAGATTACCTCGACCATCGGTGCGGCGACGCTTCCGAGACTCTGCCTTCCCTCTCCCCTGCCGCCACGCCGCTGTCACGCGCTCACCGACACACTTGTCGACGCCTCTGCATCCACCCACTCGCGCCGCCACGCCCACGGCACTCGATACGCCACAGCCCCCGACAGTGTCCGGGACCTGTCGACAGGTACGTCGACAAGCGGCAGCTCTACCTTGCGCACCTCGGCGCTCAGCTCGCAAAGCCCTCCGCCGCCACCGCCGCCACCGCCGCCGCCACCGCCGCCACCGCCGCCACCACCGCCGCCGCCGAGCTGCGGTCTGCGAGCTTCGTTTGGCTCCCACATCACCAGGACCCTCGTTGGCCTGTCCTCCAGCTCCGGATGCCGGCGAGGGGGACTTTAGGGACACATCCGAGTCGTCTCCCAGACTTCCGAGACGCGTCCACCTCTTGCTTGCAGGCCGTCAGCGGCGGCTGGGTCGTGCGGCTCATCCCGGTGCTGCCGGCCGACGCCTTTGCCGCGGCGAAGCTCGCGCCGGAGCGAGTCAACTTGCGCGACCGGACGTCCGCCACAGCCAAGGGGGCGACCGCGGGCGCTGATGCGCCCGGCGCAGCGCCGTCGCCAGAGTACAACAATCGTCTCGGTCCGGGACAATTCCGAGACATCTCCCTCCCGCCGCCTCCGCGCAACGCTCCTCTGGCGCAACGCCTCTGCTGCTTCCACCCGCCCGCCGCCACGCCCCC